GTGGCTTCTTTTAAACAAAAAATGTTGGTATCTCATTGACAAATTTTGCTCAGTCTTTTTGTTTTAATTGTTACTTGTAAGCAGCATACACATGAATTTCCATTTTAAACCCATTATGAGAGGCTTTTATCTTTTAACAAGGGACTTTAATCCATTTATATGTTTTCATAACCAATATATTTGATCTTACCTTATGTTGCTTGGTATTTTTGTTTTTCTTCTTTCTTGATTTCCTTCTGTTGTTTTACTGTCAGTATTGTGTTTGGTTTTTCTTCCCCAGTGACTTACTAATGTGTACATAGCTTTTTAATTTTAGTTTAAAAATTTTTTCGAGACAGGGTCTCACTCAGTTGCCCAGGCTGGAGTGCAGTGGTCAACTATGGCTCACTGCAGCCTCAGCCTTTTGGGTTTTAGCCATCCTCCCACTCAGTCTCCTGAGTAGCTGGGATTACATGCTTTTTAATTTTTACAGTGGTTAAAGTTGTTCAAAAAACTAATTTATGTTTCTAGAATAATAAAAGTCAACACTTACATCTGTATTTTCTCCTATTATATAAGATAGAGCATATTGTGTACTTCATTTCTCCCTCCTGCCTGTATAGTTACCTGGATAATGGGGAGTTTGGATCCTGATTACATTATTTGTATCTGTATCTTTTTAACTGCATTCACTGGTTGTAACAGATTTCTTTATATGATGACTCTTCCATTTTTTAGCCTTTAATTTTTATTTGAGGAATGGGATGCTCAAGTGGATCTTTTATTCAAGAAGCTCTTTCAGGGAAGATACATGAAATCCTATTTTCTGAGCCCTTATATATTTAGTAATATATTTGTGGGCCTTTGGATGTTTTTAAAAAATTGAATATAAAATTCTTACTTTCAGTTTTTTACCTAAAACTTTGAAGATTTGCTTCATTGTTTTCTGCCATCTAATGTTGCAAATAAATCCAAAGTCAACCTGTGTTGCATTTTTTTCCCAGCAGGCTGTTTGGTTTCTCTACTCATATGGTTTTAGACATTTTACTTAAAGTAATTGAGATTTAGCTAAGATTTTTCAAGATACAGTTTTTCTTTCATTGCTTATTGCCTCACATATGACGGTCCCAAAAGTGAACTTTTTTTTTTTAAATTCAAGAAAGTTTTCTTCAGCTTTGCCTTTGCTTGTTGTTTCTGTTTATTTTATCCTTAGAAACAACTGTTTTTTTTAGCTTAGAGTTCTTGTCTGTCCTGTAATTCAGGTGTCCCCATATGAGTCTGTGACCATAGAAACCGGGCCACACAGAAAGAGGTGAGTGGCAGGCAAGTGAGCATTACTGCCTGAGCTCCACCTCCCATCAGATTAGTGGCGGCTTTAGATTCTCATAGGAGCACAAACCCTATTTTGAACACCCATGTGAGGGATCTAGGTTGCATGCTCCATCTATAATGCCGGATGATCTGAGGTGGAACAGTTTCATTTCAAAACCATCCTTCCCAACCCAAAACTCGAAAAGTGGTCTTCCATGAAACCAGTCCCTGCACCAAAAGGTTGGGGACTGCTGCCCTAATTTTATTGTATTTCTAAAAGTTTTCATCTCTAACTTTTTACTGTACATTTTGGGACATCTAGACATTTATATTGTATATAACTGAATTAAATTTGTTATAATGCTTTTACCCTTGTTTCTCTTAGTGTGATTTTAATTCTTAATTATTTTTCATCTTTTTATGTTGTTCTGTCCTTCAGCTTTCCGTTTCAAAGATAAGGAACTTCTATTTTACTGATGTCAAATAGTTTTCTAAAATTTTGTTCACGATTCCTATATTTAGGTGACTTTTCTTTTTGAATCACCAGAATACTGTCCCCCAGGAGTGTTTGCCAAAAGATAATGTAGTTAGATGGTCCACAGCCCCACATTTTTCTCATCTTGGGAGCTAATTGGGTCATCTTTGATCTGTAGCTGTGAAACGGGAAAAGTTCCCTTGTCCCCTTCACAGGGCATTCAATTGGGATGTGGCTCGCTTCTTCAGTGCACCACTGCTCACACCTCTAGGGGAGCATATAGACAGGCAGGCTGTGGGGCTCTGACCCCCAGCAGTGTCTAGGATTGAATATTTACAGCTGAAGCCCCAGTGGGTGTGTGTTACAGGGTGCTCTTTTAGTTTAGCCATCCATAGGTGGCTTGTGTTAGACAGCTCAATTAGACCCCCTGCCTTACTGCAAGGACAGAGGCCTTTCTGTATCTGGGAATTCTTGCCTTGGTGTACTGGAAGAATCCGATCACATGTGGGCTTGGAGAATGAATGCAAGGTTTTACTGAGCGGAAGTAGCGCTCAGCAGATGGGGGAGCCAGAGGGAGATGGTTTTCACCTGGAGTCAAGCCGCTGTCCTCTGACTGCCTTGGCCAACTCTGCTTCATTCTGCTGGTTGATGGCCTGCTTGCATGCTGGTTTGCTCCTACCCGGTGGTTTCTCTCCACATCCAGCCATCCGTGTGTTCCTCTGCTGATGTGCTCCTCTCTCATGTTCAGCCACCGGTGTCTTCTTCTGCTGATGTGTTCTGTTCCTCTCAACGTCCAGCCACTTGTGTCTTTGACTGCTTGGGTCTTGGAGTTTTAATAGACACAGGATGGGGGAGTGGCAGGCCAGGGTGGTCTTGGAAATGCAACATTTGGGCAGGAAAACAAAAATGCCTGTCTTCACCTAGGTCCATGGGTGCAAGCCTGGTGGTGGTGCCCTAGCCAGGGGCCACACCCTCCTCTACCCAGCCTTGCCCTGGCTCCCCTCCCCCCATATCAGCTGTTCATGTTCTTACGTACTTCTCTGAGCTTAGTTTTGAGTCTTTAATGGGGTTTTCTTCTGTTGCCTGGTTTTTGCTATTCTGAACAGGTGAGCATGTAGGAAAACAACAGCCTTAGTCACTGCTAGCCAAGGTCTTTAGTATCTGTCCCATTGACAGTGTATTATATGCGATTTCTCTCTCTCTCTGGCATCATTTCACCGCTACCAACCTTTATCTAGTTCTTGCCAACAGTAGTGAAAGGGGCAGCAGTAAGTATCACTGGCTGCTGTTTTAAAAACAGCACTCATGGCTGGGTGCAGTGGCTCACGCCTGTAATGCTCACACTTTGGGAGACTAAGGTGGGTGGATTGCCTGAGCTCAGGAGTTCAAGACCAGCCTGGGCAACACGGTGAAACCCCGTCCCTACTAAAATACAAAAGATTTGCTGGGCATGGCGACGTGCCCCTTGTAATCCCAGCGCCTCAGGAGGCTGAGACAGGAGAGATGCTGGAACCCCGGAGGCGGTAGTTGCAGTGAGCCGAGATTGCGCCATTGCACTCCAGCCTGGGCGACAGAGCGAGACTCTGTCTAAAAAAAACAAAAATAAAACAGCACTCATACAATAAACAGCTGCATAGTCTTCTCTTAGTACATGGCTTTCTTGTTTACTATGTTTCTGAATCAGAAGAAAATCCATTGTGAGTTAGTATGTTTCTGAATTAGAAGAAAGGCCACTGACATATGGCTTGCTTCCTGTCTCTCAAAGTAACTAGCTGGTATTTCTCTTTTCTGTTCCATTGGCTTGCAGTAGCACCTTAATTTATTCATTCATTCTTTCAATCAGTACTTAAGTTCTTACTACGGCCGAGGTACTTTTCTAGGTACTGGTTATATATATAATATTAAACGAAATAGTGTTTCTTCCTTCTTTGGTGGCAGAAATAGTTTCTGGATTCTGTCAGTAACGCATTTTGGTGATGGTGTGATGTTTTATTTCCCTTTTTTTCTAAAAAAAAAAAATATTTTCGGGCAAGTTGAGAAAGGCTGTATTAAAGCTACAGTCAAGATACCAGTTTAACTTCTTTCTCCATATGCAATGTATAAGGTTGCTCTGGATCTAGGAATAATTTTATGAATACAGTGTTCGTTAACCTATTTTTCTAGTTTTATTTTATTTTAAATTGGCAAATAATTATATATATTGGTAGGGGTAATGTTTTGATAAATATGTATGTTGTGGAATGATCACATAAGGCTAACATATCCATCACCTCAATATTTATCATTTCTTTGTGCTGAGAACATTTGAAGTCATCTTTTAACTATTTTGAAATATACATTATTATTAACTATAGTCACCAGGCTATGCAGTAGATCACAAGAATCAATTCCTTCTGTTTAACTGAAATCTTACTATTATCCTAACCTTTTAAGGCTACTACTACTTCCCCTAAACCTCTCATCACAACTAATTTATTGTTGTCCTCACCTTTTCGTTAATCTTTCTTAACTTTCTAAGTGAAATGAGTAAAATTATTATACCACTAAAATTAGGTTTGTATGATGACTTCAGCAAGATGCTTTGGCCTGATATTACTTTACTTTAGCAGAGATTTCATTCTGAAGGAGATCTTAGCTATTTGAAAAATAAGCAATAAAACTGCATTAGGTGATAATAGATGAAGAATTTGGTCAGTTTCCAACTTTATTGCCTGGCATTTATGATGAAAATTAAATTTGAGGGACTTGATTTTTTCCACCACTTTGAACAGAAGTAAATAAAAAAACAAAATTATTTTATTTAGAGAAAACTCATTCTAGAACCTTTTATACTTAAAGCTTCCAGTAAATATTATGAACTTTTGAAACAATATAAAGTAGTAGAATTTAACACACACACACACACACACAAAAGCACGAGGTACACATAGACCTATAAGTATGGAATGTAAAGCGATTGTTTACTTTCAGTATGTAAAAGTGTAAATGGGAGAGAGAACATAGCTTACAATTTGGATAAGGTAACATGTTGTTTACCTAATTTGTAATAGGGTTACTGTCACGGAAAGGGAACTTTAAGCAAAACAGGACCTGGCAATTATGTCATATCTCCTTTTAATTTCCTAGATTGTTCAATATTAAAAAACAAGAAGCTTTCTATGTGCACTAATTGTGGGGCAGAATCACATTTATAAGACTGTAGGCCTCTTGAGGGTAAGAACTATATGTCAGTTACCTTGTGCAGCTGAATGTTATAGTCAAGAGAAGTTTGCTTCCTTTCAGGAAGAAGATAGAATCCTTAGAGGAGAAACATAGTGTCTTCCTTAGCCTGTAATAAGATTGGTAGTATTACTTGTTTTAAAGATAGTGGTTAGGATTTTGGAAGTATTTTCACGTCAGCTATACCTGTCTCAACTGGTTTGTTCACACCTGGGGCAATTGTGTTAAATTTGTTGTTGTATAGGGGGAGGGGAACAGCTTCATTAGGTGACGTGCAGAGGATGTTGTTCACAGCTCTTTCACCCAGGGATTAGAAGTCTTCTTTCCCCTTCTCCTCCACTGTAGCGATGAATTTGCAGAGGAATCCCATAGCCTTAATCTATTAATACATGCTGTCTTTAGCTGAAAATCAAGAAGCTCAGAGAATTTGCTGTTTGATGTTGATGCTTTAGTTAATTGTGCTAGTCCAACAGCATTTCACATATACACACTGTGGTAACAAACGTGGCTGATTGGTAAATTATAGCCATTTTGTAGCCAAGGTAGATTGGCATTGCCGAAAGACTTAAACTTTGTGTCCATTAGACCCTTGGCTTAGTATTAAGTTTTACCTGTTTTCTACAGGTTTGATATTTGCAAATGTGTTTTGATTGTGTCGTAGCCAAATAAAAGGGTACTTGACATGTTTTTCAAAACTATTTAAAAAATATCAAGTTTATACCACGTGTAACTTGAATTTTAAACTCATAAATTCTCTGTGTGTGTTTGTAATAATTGATGTATTTGTTTCTAGGGGCCACCTACAGATGCTCCTGCAGTGGACACAGCAGAACAAGTCTATATCTCTTCCCTGGCACTGTTAAAAGTAAGTAGTGAATGTAGTTACTTGCTTTAGAGAACTCTTTTGCTTTCATTTGGAGTATTTGCTTTGGAGTATTTGTCACCTTAATCCTCTCAGACATAAATAAGCTATTGTTTTAGCTACATTTATAAAAAGAGTTTTTTATTTTCGCTGAAACAAAATTTGGTTTTTGTTTTATAAAGAGGAACCAGAGACCTTAACGAACTTTGCTTGTATCCCCATCTCTTCCTTTCTACAGATGTTAAAACATGGCCGTGCTGGAGTTCCAATGGAAGTTATGGGTTTGATGCTTGGAGAATTTGTTGATGATTATACCGTCAGAGTGATTGATGTGTTTGCTATGCCACAGTCAGGAACAGTGAGTACTTTTATGGTTGCCTGCTGCAAGTAAATGTGTTTCTTTTCATTTTTCTTTTCCTATGCAAACTAACTCATCATATTACATTTTCTCTTTCCAATAGGAAAAATTAATCGTAAGCTTGATAGAAATTTTAGATTGTATTGAATGAAATCATTAATCTTTAAAACACAGCATAACTTCTTATAGGTCTACAAACTAAATGATGCTAATGCTAAATTTATTTTCTCATGCCTTCAGCTTAAACTGGTAAAATACTGGATTTAAAAGTTACTTACCCTATAATAGCAGAGTGTTAGTTTCATTTCAAACCAAGTTTTCAAAAGATTTGAGATTCTCTTATTTAGATTTTCAACTCACATGCACTAGTTCTTATGTCTTGTTCCCATTGTTTTGAAATATGTCATTTAAAAAATGTTCTATATGGTGATGAATGACTTTTAAGCTTTTTTTATTTAAAATGTTAAGTTAAAAAACAAACAAACACACACAAAAAACAATAGCAAACCTGAGTATTTTTGCCCAGGCATGGTATTTTGTTTATATGCACCGTACTCCATACAAATTACCTGTATAGAATACATTATTCTTTCTAGAGATTTTTGTTTTGTTTTGCCTTTTTGTTTGATGAAGTTGTGTTGATAGATGTGCATTTTGACTGAAAGAAAATAGCAAAAAACAATAACCATTCCATCTACCTTCCAAAAACATAATACATATATCCTTCTCACCTGTTTGTTTAGAAAAATATGCATGCATTTTTCCAAGGGATATTTCTTCTTTGCTAGGCAATATTTCTCTTACTGAGCCTTGTAAAAGAAGGATTAAAGAAATTGTGTTATAAAGCTGTTTGTTCTGTTCGAGGCTCTGTAAGTTTACTTTGATAAGGTAGATGCTAGAGAACAAATTACAATTTCAAGTACTGTAATATATATAGTATGTATATTAAAAATAAGCATTTAAAATAGAATATTTGCTACAGAATGCAATATATTTATAAATGTAAGGTTTTCTCTAAATAGATGAATTTGTTGAGGGAAACTAATTTGGATCTACTGATTTTATCCATCTCGATATCCATTATATTTATTTTATACATTTGGAAATAGAGAAACACTCTACATGTTAACTAAAGGTTTAGATTTAAATCTTAGACTATTTATTACGTGTCTCTATCTTTTTATATTTGGCTACATGAAATACATAAAACTGACATATATGTTATGGGTACTTACGTAGATATCCATTATAATACATTGTTCTTAGGCTTTAATATCATTACTTCCATGTAAATGCTTGTTTGACAATGTAAAATAAAAGATTTTGATCCCTATATTCACTCTAATTCTATTTCCTAGTGTCATAGAATTAGAAAGTTTTCCTTCTGACCCCAGAGTCAGTAAACTTTTTCTATAAAGACATATGTCTCTGTTGCATATTCTTCTTCTTTTTTTTTAAGACAGTCCTTTTAAAGTATATATATGAAAAGAAAGACAAAACCCGAAAACATTCTTAGCCTATAAGCAGCAGATTGCATACCCCTGTTCTTGAGGATGTACTCTCTGTTGGAATTCAATATGCGTACTGTTTGTTTTGGTGGGAAGGAAGTGCTTATGTTAACTAGTTTCTTTAAGTACATTTGATTTAGATTCCTGAGGTTAGAAGAAAGCCCTGGGAGCTTTAAAGACAATACTCTATAGCCAGAGAGATGATCTGAACCTTTTAATTCTTCCATGTTCAAATGTTTCATTTTGGTTGAACTAGCACTTTTAATTCTTCCATGTTCAAATGTTTCATTTTGGTTGAACTAGCAAAATAATGCTGTATGTAAGAGACTTGAGGCTGTTTCATTATGATAGCTGAATATTTGTAGAACTTTGGATGAGGCTCATTTTAGTTATCAGTTATGATAAGATGGCATTAGGAAGTATGCTTGCCTAGATAGGTCTAACCAATAGCTCTGGTTGATTCAATTGTTTTCGTATTTCTGGTAAACATATACATAGCAATGGCCATTATATTCTTAAGAATCCTGAAAGTTGGCTTAACTCATTAGCCAACAGCAGTTTGTTAGTTGGCAATTTTAGAAGCTTGATTGGTGTGAGGTTTATAATTGAATGACTTGAGTAGGTATCAAATGTAGGTATCAAAACCTATAAAATGATTTTGGCAACCCCAAATAATATACATAGGGAAGCTTTTTTTTTTTCCAAATTTACAAAAATTAATAATTTTTATTTCTTTCTAAATCAGGGTGTAAGTGTGGAGGCAGTTGATCCAGTGTTCCAAGCTAAAATGTTGGATATGTTGAAGCAGACAGGAAGGTAAGCATTTTAAGTGATCAGCTAAAGAAATAATGGGAAATATTTATAGAAACATACCTCAAAGTTATAGATGTTTATCAGTATCATTTCTAGAAAAAGAGGTCACATAGTTGACATAAAAGTATCTGTAAATATCGGTGCCATGCACCGCCTGTCTAGTATGTCTTCCCTTTAGAACCAAAGAAATTTGCCCATCAGAGAACTGCCTCATGTTAAAATTCTTGACTGTCACATAGTAAGCTTGGGCTGTAGCTTCCCTCTGTTTAGCATATGGAGTTACTGTCTAGTCACTTATAATTGAAAGAGCTTGTATGTTCCATGTATTTGAGAGCTGCAACTGAATGAGATTATGAATATTTAATTATGTTTGTAGGCATAGTTTTAAAGACAGAGAAAGTATAATCCAAATATTCTGAAGTTTTTTTCCTCAGACCAAATCTCTCAAAGTTGCCATTCTCTTGCTCAAATTCTTCTACTGTGGAAAAAACTTCAAAATTAATGTTAGCAAAAGGCTCAGCAGCTGAGCAGAACAGTGCAAATTGGTTTTTGACTGAGTTCCTAGTTCTACTGCTGGTTTAATTGATATTTAATCCTTTCACAACAGTGGATCCTGGTGTCCATTGTTAAAAATGTACTCTGTGCCTGGAAAATCCAACTCCCAGAGCTAAGGAGTTAAAGAGTAGATATTTACTTGAATGCTGAAAGGGTAAAAACTGGCTCTGAGAAACTGTGGTAACAAGGTGAAAAACTGAAAGCCTTATCTACCACTGCTAATGTGCATCTCTTAATGATAGTACTCCTTTGTCACACATATTCATTTCCATGTTTTCTGGATAATATGGTGTACAATTTCAGGGTTTCTAATGGTGCTTTTTCACACCTGTGTGTTTTTCATCTCTTCTTAATTTATACCCCGTTAGTGTGTTGTTTCTTTTCATATCATAAATGTATTACTTGTTCTGTTCTGAGCATCTGAATGCCCTCTTTGTTTCAGGCCGGAGATGGTTGTTGGTTGGTATCACAGTCACCCTGGCTTTGGTTGTTGGCTTTCTGGTGTGGATATCAACACTCAGCAGAGCTTTGAAGCCTTGTCGGAGAGAGCTGTGGCAGTGGTTGTGGATCCCATTCAGAGTGTAAAAGGAAAGGTAGAGTAGATTCTATCTTTATTGCCATCTACTGCCACATTCTGTTTACAGATACATTAAATAAAAATCCATTTTGTTCAAAGCAGGATTCTTAATTATACAGAAAGCTGCTGTTTACTTAAAAAACAAACAAAAAAACTTTACAAGTTGATAACTGTGTCTTGGTATTATTAGCAATTTATTTAGAGATTTCTTCTTTAATCACTTGTGTAATTGTCATGAATATTTATCTTTAAATTTTTTGAATTTCATAAAATTAGGAAAGTTAAACCATACTCAAAGCCTGCTATAAACATTTTATTAATATTTAAATAAACATTGCTTTACCTTTATTTTCAAATGATGAATTTGGAATTGGCAGAACATTTTAAAAATCTATTTAAAGGGCATTGTTTTGCAGACATTGTGCAGAACATATTCTGGAGGTGTGTTTTCCAAATATTTTAGACAATGAAAACTTGCCCAAAGACTTGGTATCAACCATTCACGTTTTTGGAGTGAGGATGCAAATGAATGATTAAATATGCTAAATAATTCTGAAAACAGATTAACTTGGAAAGCATATTGTGTTATAGTTCTTTGTTGAAACCCCTTTTGTTCTTGTTTAGTTCTTTCTCTTTTTTTGTTCATTCTTTCTTTTTTTTTTTTTTTTTTTTATTTCTTTCTTTCTAGCCCCATATGCCATTTTCCTATTTCCTGCCTCATGACAGCAGGGAGCAGCTCTATTATCACCTTCACAGAGCTGTCTGCAAATGTGAGAGGCAATTCGATTTTGCTCAACCACAGGGAGAGTGGATTAGAAAAACTACAGAACATACAGAAATTGGCTAGGTGGTTACTGCTTTAAAATACTGCTGAGGTGTCTTGTTTGAGCATGTACTTCCATTGTAGTGTAGAATAATTGTTAAAATAAAATCACAATATATTTATGCAATCCTTTTTATGCAGGTTTTACAAATAATTTTTAGAGCACTTAGAAATAAATATTAGCTTGTTATCTATCAGACCTGGAGTTTGATAGTAGTGCAGATTACATTTATATCTGCTCACCAGCTCAAACAAACTAAACATGGCTGTTAAAACATGGAGTTTTTATGTGTCATAAATTTGAAGTTGAATGTTTTCTGACATCATACCATTATCATGTATAAAAATTGAGGTCTTCTCTAAATCATCATCTTATTTGGTGTGATTTAGCTTTTCAGAGGCAAAAACTATCCACAAAAACAATAATAGAAACTGATATACTAGACCATTCAGAATGGATAGCTTCTGATTCTTACTATATGCCTATATTTCAATTTATTTACTTTTTTTTTAACTAAATGGGTTAGATAAAAGAGGTTGAAAAATCCTTGATTGTTATTGGCTTTATGAATTACAGTATAATATCTCTTAATTCTGTATTTTAAGGTACCTTTTTAGTAACTCGGAAGTAATTTCATTTAAGTAATGATTACTGTTTTACAGATATAACAATTATCTAACAAAGTCCCCTACCACAATATTTACAAGTAATAATTAAAGCTTAATTTTAAATATAATTAGAATTCTGTTTCGTAGTAATTAGCTTAACTTAGGTTTTATGATATCTTGACTCGTGATGGTGGCTACTTTGAAAAAGGAAAGTAAAAACAAACACAATGAAAGAAAGCATTCTCAAAATACAGTAAATAAATGTAAATGTAAATAAATGAGTATGTATTTTATTTTTGGTTATCCTTTTGTAATGTTTAAAATGGCAATTTTAGTTTCCAAACCTAGTTTACGTGTTGTATAATATTGGAATTTTCATTATTTCTAATTAATTGTAATTTATATTAAAATGATGAATTTCATTTAATAATATGCATTCATCACATGTCTTAACAATGTTAAATTTAGTTTTTAAAAATAATATATCTAAAATTTATGAAGTCATATGTATCACTGTCTACTTTTGTATAGTAGGAAGACATCTTTTTGAAAAAATTTAGTGTAAATACCTATCATTGATGATTTGCATCACTTGTTAGACCTAATGTCTAGATTCATACTATTATATCTCCTGAAGTAAGGATCCAGTTCTTTGTCAGTAATGCAACTTCATCTTTAAGGAGTCAGAGTTTGATTGTAATTTATGGTTCTTTCAGTGTCAAGTCCTCTCATCACTATGAATCAGATTAAATGCTAGTAAATCCTTAGGGTGTTTTAGTTAAATCATGATACTTAGGAATATAAACTTATAAAAATGAAGAATAGCATAAGAGTCTCCCTCTCCTTTCCCTGTGTGTGATTTATGAAAGCTGTCAAAATATTTAGTAAGGCAATGATTAGATCAAGAATTAAAATGACATTTTATATATAAATGATTTAAGTTGGGTCTCTGTTCACTTTTTTTAAAACCTCTTTCTTGAACGTTTTGTATATTTCCATCTTTATAAATTCCAATATTTCTGTCTTTGAGAAATTAGATAAGCCTGGATTCTTTCTTGGTAATCTCAATTCATTCACAATTAGTTTGATTTTCTTTTATGCTGACTTGATTATATTTTTTATTGAATAATTGCTGTGAGCCAGGTATTGTGAATAACCATTTCAACTTATTTATTCTTTGTTATAATCCTAAAGATAGGACCTGTTACTATTACATGTTATTAGCGGTTAAAAAAAAAAAAAATTAGGGCCAAGGAGGTTGCTTTGCCAAAGTCAGACCATGAGTTAGCAGCAGAACAAAGATACGAATCCAGTTCTGTAAAATTTCAGAGCTCAGGCTTGTTTAATGACTCGTTAATTCTTTAATATTAAACCATTATGAATGATATAATCAGAGTAACTGCAGAATGCAAAATGAATACCAGAGGTCATTGTGAGGCCATTCCTTAACTTACTGTGGATAGGTGTCACTCTCTTCAGCATAAGTCAGGGGAAAGAGCTGTACATTTCCTCTAAGTTCTCCATAGTTTTCTCTAGGTATTATGTATTATATATTAATTGATTTTTTAAAAATGTGTTGTTCCATTAATTTTAAAAAACAATTTAGACAGATTTATTCCTGTTGACTTTTGTGACATCCCTAGGAGTAAACACTGAAATTAACATAAATAATGAAGTACACTATATGATAAAGAGTCTGTAACCCTACTATAAATGTTTTTAAATGATACAGGTGAAAATCAATGGTAATTGCATTCATAATTTAAATGGAGAGCAAGCTCACAGAAGTTACCAGTGAGTTCTGCTCTAATCAGGGAAATAGTTTATAAGATCTGCTTGCAGCATTTTGTTCATTTGTAAAATATACATATTTACATATTTTAAACTTTAGTTCTCAAATGGCACAGTGGGGACCTCTTGCTGAATGTTTTATTATCTTGTATACTCAGCCCACAACTAGATCCAGCAGCAAATTTAGAAGTTAATTCAACTTGTAATGTGACTATACTTCTTTCTTGAGGCAAAAAGAATGGTCACTTTGGGCAAAATCATAAAACTAGCATACAACTTAATTAGGATATTGTAATATATTTATTAAAAAGCATTACTGCTTTAAAGAACTCATTTTCCTTGACGGGGTTCCTATTTGTAAAATGCTCAGTTGTTACCAGCTAACTAACTCCTAACAATCATTGTGTGTGTTCTCTCTTTTGAAAACATAAAAAAAGGAATGACTATGTCCAAATGTGTCTTCCACTGGTTAGGTTTTCTTGAAACATTTTTATTTAATCTGATCAAAACACTCAATAGACTTTAAAAAATGTGATGTTTATTTAACTGCAGGTCAGCTTATCTGCAGGTATTTCTTAAGGATACCTGATCTGTATGCTAATGATTCTAAGGTACAAAATAAATTTTAAAAAATGGTCTGTCTTCTTTGAGAAGATAAATTATATCCATTTAGTGTTAGTAGTGAGCAAGATCTCATTCTGCCAATTATATACTGATAACCTATACTGATATTTTGCATACTGATACAAAATATACTGAAATTGCTTGTTTCTGTAAGTATTAAATTGGTTGCTAGAGACAGAAATAATTCAACAAATACTTATTCAGAATTTTGTATGTGCCAGTATACAATAAAGTATTACTTGTATAGCAAACACAGTAAATGTAAATTAAAATTAGAAGAAGGGAGAAAAATCAGTGTAGGTTGCACAGAAGAGATAAAGCTTGGGCTGAGTTTTGAGAGGTAGGCGGGACATCACTCAGAAAAGAGGAGCTTGTACCGCATGGGAAGAATGTAGAAACAATATCATTCCAAGAGGTACTCACCTCTTTGTTCATTCCTTTTTCCACAGATATTAGAATGTAAAAGGAGTGGTTTCATTGGTTTTAATTTGTTTAAACAACTAGCATTTTACAAAAGATGGGGCTTTGGAGAATAAATACAAATGCAAGAAGAAAGTTAGGGAATGTGGCCAGGTACCATGGCTCACATCTGTAATCCTAGCACTGTGCGGGACCAAAGTGAGTGGATCGCTAGAGCCCAGGAGTTTGAGACGAGCCTGTGCAACATGATGAAACTCCGTCACTAGTTTTTAAAAAAGTTAAAATAAAAAAAAAAGTTAGCGGCCGGGCGCGGTGGCTCAAGCCTGTAATCCCAGCACTTTGGGAGGCCGAGACGGGCGGATCACGAGGTCAGGAGATCGAGACCATCCTGGCTAACACGGTGAAACCCCGTCTCTACTAAAAAATACAAAAAAATTAGCCGGGCGAGGTGGTGGGCGCCTGTAGTCCCAGCTACTCGGGAGGCTGAGGCAGGAGAATGGCGTAAACCCGGGAGGCAGAGCTTGCAGTGAGCTGAGATCCGGCCACTGCACTCCAGCCTGGGCGACAGAGCGAGACTCCGTCTCAAAAAAAAAAAAAAAAAAAAAAAAAAAAAAGTTAGCGAATGAATGTTGTAAGAGCGTACCCTTTATTTTCAGATATCTAGAAGGTTGTGTCTTTTCTTTTAGGGGTGGGTAGCAAATATTTTACTTTTCCAAGAAATTTTATATTAGAAAGTTGTAAGATGGCGA